CTGAGAAATATAAGGAGCTTAGTAAGTTGCCTCATAATCTGTCCAATCACTTCAACACCAAGTATGCATTTTCGTTATTTTCCGTCTACTGAATGTATCAGATCTTCTTTAGCAGTTCTAAGGAACGCATGCTCTGAGAAATATCAGAAGCTTAGTAAGTTGACTCAGTCTATCCAATCATTGAAACATCAAGAATGCATTTTCGTTATTCTCCATTTTGTGAATGTATCGGGTTTTCTTTGTGAGACGTAGGAAACGATTGATGGGTCGAAAATCATTTTATCTTAGAGCGTACTTTTGAGAGTTTAGTAAATGTTGAATCGCACACATAATGGCGATTTTCGGGAAGTACGCGAAGGTTTGTCCGGCCACTGTGATCGTCTCAACCGATGTTGTTACGGCAGACGTACGAACTCACTTTAAATAAACATAACCGCACAACTCAGCTTTCATATCGATAGAAAGATGCGTTCTAAATGGTACTTCAACAACGATGCAAAGAAGATGTGTCAAACCCGTTTCAAAATTTGCATGTTCATAGACCAACCGGATAACGTACCCCTATGCCATCGTAAGTTGCTCTGTTGTATAGAATTCGTTCCATTTTCCACTGTTCAATACAATTTTATGCTAGATTGCAAAGGGTTTTGTGGTTTGATCTGAAAGAAAACCCAAGAATTCCTGCAATACATCAGCAAACCTAATGAATAACACGTTTTCCAGCATTCCACCATCATTACAGCGGATTTGTTACCCTTTCCGAGTGCTTGATGATGATCCAGAACGATACCCATTGCTGACCAGACAGTCCGTGTTTGGAACGCGACCTCAGCATCTAAATTTCCCAAGTATTGGTATTGGCTAACTAGCCCTCGTGCCTACATTCCTCGGGTGGCTTTTTAGCTAGGTACCGGAGGATTGTTACGGCTGAACGAAGCATTCCATAGAAATCGGGATGTTTGAGAAAAAGCGTCCCTAGCTCAGTGGCAGATGAATTCAAAAGTCAGTATGGCTGAATTATTCCAACTAGGGCCATTTTACTACGTGCGTAAAATAACTTTCCGAGCACACTACAATCAGATATTTTGGAAATCTTAACTTCCAAAAGAGTTGCTGGCGACGAACTCCGGTTCCCCGGTACACTTGTAACTTCCACTTTGTTCTCAACGGTTTTGTCGTCTGCGCGTGTAAGTGTTCTCTCACACAGACTTCAGTCGTACAACAGCGTCAGATTGTTCTTCAAACCACTGAATATGCATGTCCGTGTTAACATTTTTATCACTGGTGTTTATGAAACATTTCAGGTGGATGCACTCAAACAGCGCTGAAGATTTGCTCACGTAAGTTCCCTCAGTGGATACTACGTGCACGTTATGCTCAAAACTGAGAGAAAAAATTCAGTCCTCATTTACGAATAACTGAGCAGAGTGCGCACTTCACTCCGTTCCGAATCATGTTGTGAAATCTATGATTTTCAGCGCAGATGCATGGCTAATGCCGAAAACCAGTTTCTTCAATTCAAATCGACATTTGCGTTGGTGAGGAAAACGATGGCTGGTTGTGAATGAGGAGCCTATGGCAGGATTTGAAAGGCTCAGCACACTAACAAATACCATGACAGAGGATTTCTGATTAGGTGCCGAACTGTTTCTGTTCGACAGGTAGGAGGAGCTGGCAGGTTGTTGTCTGCGAATCCAGGTCATAATGGACACGTGGTTGATGTGCTCGCGGAAACCTTCCTCGCATCTTATCATTGACGATGACAACTAGTCAAGATGCGTATGACATTCTTTCCAGCTCTTTGTCCATTGCTTATGCATCGTCTGGTTTGGGTCTGCACAAACGGTCTTCTGACTGATTGAGTAGATTTCGATTGACCAATACGAAACTACGTTGTCGGATGTGCAAGATCAAACGACAGTTGGACATTTTGTCAATTCGCATGTTGGCATAACTGTGCCGCAGACAACCAGATGGTTGCGTAGTCTTAGGTTTTACGGAATCATTCATTATCCCGTGGAATCACTCAGGGATAGCGGTTAGTGGAACCGATAGTCGCGGCATATACCTGTCTCAAATGTGGATTTACTTTTTCTCACAGACCAATGCAAAGAGAAGTTTCCGGACGAAGGTAAAGTGAACTATTGCCAACTCGCATTTGTTAGTACAGCACGCTACTTTCCACAGGCTTGGTTGAATGTTCAAATACTGACCAATTTGTTACCACCATTCGGCATGGGAATAGGAGTTAAAATGTCTGGTGCAGAAGTGACTGCCATGGTATAACGTAGATGATAGAAGTGTTTGAGGTAATGAATTTCGGGTGTAATCCTATTTTACTTCTGTCATGCGATTGACTGTCGCTAGAATAAAAAATGGTGACCCGAAACCATCGATTCGCCTACACTTAGCTCGTGGTTGGAAGGGTCGGTTAAGGAGTCGTTTGAACAGTCGCCCTCCTGTCCTGACACAATCGTTCCCATGAGTTCACATGAAATGGGGAAATCACTGGACGGGATTTTCACTGTCATGAGTGGTGTTACATTTGACTTCAGTATGATCGACAGCTGACTGACTAATATAGACACAGCTGTGTTTATCTCACAGGTGAAAACTTTGCTTCAAAACGATTTTTCGGCTTTTATCATATCACTTCATATGGAGGTTGAATTTATGAAGGTCACTTGACGCACAGTTTTAAACAGTTATATGCTCAGCATTTCATTTGGTCACATTTTCGCCAGGTCGGAGTTGCCATAAACATAAGCAGACTAGGTTGTCTGTAAAGACGAACGAATTCGTCTCATTGCTCGGTGCATTTGGTCACATTTTCGCCAGGTCGGAGTTGCCATAAACATAAGCAGACTAGGTTGTCTGTAAAGACGAACGAATTCGTAATTGCTCATTGCTCGATGCCTCCATTTATGAGAAAAACTGTCTCGTTGTCCATCAAGGATACGCAACACACCAATCTTGACTGATGGGATGGCGTTCAAACGCAGAAACTTTTCCTAGTTCAAGTTCGAAGCTTCACTGTGTATCGTGATTTTTTGCTGAGAAACTGACGACGCATTTTTCTCTTGACATTCACAGAATAATTCTGGGAATTTCTGAAAACAATTTAGCAATTGCACATTATTCTGTTTGCTCCATTTGCGTCATGTTCAAGAAATCATTGATCTCCCCCTTCTTGTCTTTTCACTCGAAAATATACGAGCTGAATAATACGGGTTATCTTAACTGCGCCAAATGATATTTTCTGTAGGCTATCACCGAACAAACTTGCCTGACAACAATGAGACCGATATCGATATCTTGCAAAATATCAATGCTCTTTGAGTTGCTCACAAGATACGTTCAAGGTTGCAATGGTCGAATGCAACTCAAAAGCGATCTCTCATTCAGCACTTGTTTATTTGCTGATTAGGTGGGTAAAAAGCTGGTTTCGCAAAGTCGAATAACGTACAAACAACAAATGCCGATGTGAACTCATTGTAGAATGAGCGGTAAGCAAGCACTCGTCAACTTGTCTAAGTCTGATGTGACATCCATCTGGTCTTTGATCTGGTCAGGTCTGCTAGAAGACTTCGGTTAGACGCCCAACCCTTCTTGAAAGAGGTGGTTCCCGGATGAAAACAGCGTCTCCCGAGTCGTTTGACTACCAATCATTTGTTGACAATGTTGTGGGTTTTGTCGACAACATGTCAAGTTGACACCCGCGGTGGTTCGGAGTACTGTTTTTGCATCCGGTTCCAACGGGGCACGCGTCATCCTATCGAACAGAGCTTCTGAACGTGAAATCAGTGAGTGTGAACTCCTTTGTCGTTGAAAGCCATGGGTTTCAAAAATAAGTCATTCGGTCCGTAGGACCAAACAAGTGATGAGTGTCTCGGGGTTGCTTGAGCAACGCAGTTCAGTACACTGAAAACAAGTTCAAAGCAAATGATTTCTACTCAATAATACTATGTAAATAGCGTTAGTCTGAATTCGTCTCCCGTTACCATTGAGCTGAGTGACAATACAATCTAATTCCCAGTTGCACTGGAATGGGACAAACAGATGAGAGCGCGTCGGTGTGTATGTCATCTTACTTTGATATTCGTTGTTGACTGAGACACATCACCTCCTGTCCGTTCAATATGGTTATCTGGTCGAATTAGAAACGTGCAGATTGGGTCACCTTGATTTGCACCCATTCCCTGCCGATCAGGATGTTGAAGAAAGGGCTGGCGTTCCGAACCACAATCGTCGTGGGACTGGGTTTGGGCCCCCGGACTGTACCGCACACTCGCACAACCACGATACACAAAGTTTGGCAACCCCAATGTCTAAGTCATGTCCGTAAGTGCAAGGAAATTTACAGACTGATACTAAGCATTTCGAAAGTTGCGAATAAGCTTGGTATCAAACACTCATCCAAACTTCCCTTTACATTCCGAAAGTAGTTTGTTTTAACTAGCAAAACAACCACGTGGCCAGCATGAAATCCTCTTCCGTTATGTCATTTTACCGGGTGAGATAGAAATGGATGCAAGAATATGTGATAATTATGGAGAAACACACTCATTTGCAAGCCAATTTGGTCCTCACGAGAGACTCAACTGAATATCTCGTTCACGATTCATGATACTTATCCTTGAGTCATAAAACATGGACAGAAAAGTCGATTTAAATGATAACTGAACAAAAACAGCTCGGGGTAGTAATTTATCACTGGTCGAATGAAATCCGAGACAGCTTGTCAGTTAACAATTGCTGATTTGATGATTAGTTGGCTAGAATCGGGTTCAGCGAAGCCAACTTGCTCACCGGACGAGCTATGCCCTGACCCCATTCCAGGTATCACAACTGCTCCTATCTAGACGGTTGCAATTGTTTTTAATTGTTCTGATTGCATGAAGCTGGCCCCTGTCACAAGCCACTTCATCATATTTCAGCATCGTCCGGTAAATCTAGTTTGTTACAGCAACAAAAGCCGCTCCGACTTATCTCAGTCACCATGCCTGTATTGCCTTCTTTAAGTCTATTCTCATGGAATGTAGAGTGCGTTCACCAGGTGTACGAACGGATACTTGTGAATCCTTCTTGTACAACAGTGTGTCCAAGACTCTACCAACACAACTTGGCTCATTGGCCCAATCGAATTTGCGTCTTTACATTTGAATATATTACTCAAACAACCTTGGGATTATTAGATGACACGAGTTTTTTACAAGGTCACAAAACGGCTTGTGACAAGTAGTCGCCTGGTTCAACTTAGTTAGATTATCAAAACGCTGTCCACTCGTGAACATATGCAATGGACCACATAAATCGAAAGCAGATCCATGCCTACTGGGGGGAAGTAGTACGTACGTTCGCTCATTTGAATAAAGCTGGTCAAACCGCTGTGTGTTCATATGCAATGGACCACATAAATCGAAAGCGGATCCATGCCTACTGGAGGGAAGTAATACGTACATTCGCTCATTTGAATAAAGCTGGTCCAACCGCTGTGTGTATTACTTGGGACCCAACTAAGCTGTCTGTAATGCACATACACAACCAAATGCCCGAGATGCCCTGATCTTAAACCACACAGCGTTTCCAAGCAAAAGGGCGTGGTCAAAATCACATGTAGATTTTTTAAGAACATCCGTGAAAATAAAGCGCCTAGCAATATGATTTGTATTCTCTCAGTTTGAAATCCGGCTCACACTGGCAAAATCACGTGTTAATTAGCTTTAGTACATGTATGTCCACCGGTGGTTTGTTCCCTGAGAATGGCCAAGTGATCGGGATGTGTTAAAACAAAATCAGGCCAAAGTAAGGAACATAGTATATTTGTGATGTACTACTCATGAGGTTGCTGAAAATTGGTTGACAGCCCATGACCGATTTCGCCCTTATTGGGGCTCATCAGGTAGGCATGGGACATAGTTTTTCCCAAAACTGTTCAGAAGAGTGTGAGAAGAATTCGAATCCTTAAATAATTTCAAATTCTGCGTAAATATCCTGCCGGTGGTACATCCATGTCTTTATCTTTATTCTCACCGGATATAAACTGAGCCTAAAAATAAATTTTCGCGCGAAATTTTCGTCAACCATCTTGAAAAAATGGACCCAATCATCCAATTGGGTTCATGAAATATTCAAGAAATATTATGGAGCCGCAGACGGTGTAGTTCGCTCTCAAAATCGGGGACTCGTTGGGCCTATTCGCAAGAAGTCTTTGGACGCGATAATATGACCCTTTCTGGGACAAACTTTAATCGAATTTCGTTCCTCGTTTGCGATCATCGCGTGAGTCTTCTTAGAAATTCTAAACACAAGTATCCAAGTGCTGGCTGAAATTTCAAAGACATCTAAACGTCAAAATATTTAATGAGCTTGCTACCCTGGTCGATTTCTGTAAGTTGTTCATATATATTTGCAATTATTTGGCATATTTTTACAAATCAGCTAAAGCTGCCTTGTAAATATTTCCCAAACTCGACGAATGAAGTGAAGCTTGTATTCTGTCCTTTCCTTCTTGGTCTGTAAATAAGGCGGGTAAGAGAAATCATTTAATTTATCCGGTCATTATTCTCAACGTGCTAAGTTAAACTTTGCGCTACTAGGAAAGTTTGTGCTTGCACTTGACGACAGCTAGTCCCTCAAACGACATGAAACGATGCTGGGATAAGCTACTGCGAGCCCAGGTTTTGCAAACAGTCTTTCACCCGCACTCTAGGCATACCGAATGGACCAACGAAGGCGTGTCCTTCGGATTCTAGTGAAAGCTTGAAATCCATATTAGCCACCAAGTGGCGCACAATGGGCTTAGATTGAACCGGCTTGTGGTATCATGCCTGCCCTGGTTGTGCATTGGTGACGATGAATTCATAGCCTCGCTGATGTTTGACAACTCCAGTTGATGTCCCTTTGATACCTGTCAGCAAGTGACCGACTAGCAGGAGATTCGCGATTGATGGATGACTGAGCTGACAATTAGGGGGAGGGGGCGAGCTAACCACACTGCTGACCATCTGCAGATCACAAAGCGGTCAAGTGTTCTGAACAAATTGGCCCCAAGTTAGTGGGTTTTAGACCTGCTGGGGATTCGTTTGATCCGCAATGTGAATGATTCGAAATGTGGATGAACTAGCAATTGTTGTGGATCAATCAGAATTGGTTGGCCTCATTACAGCCTGGAAGCTCAAATGAACATTCTGGCCACAATTTGAATGATTTATACCTCGATATGGTGAAATTAAGTTGTATAGTGGTTAAACCTATCGGGCTATGCGTTGACTATACCATGAATAAGTGCAACTGCCCATTAGGATGTGAACCCTCCCATCAGCCTCAAAATCAATTTTGGTCGACGTTGGCGAGTGTCGCCTTTTGATTTGCGGCTGCATGTGTTCTCCAACCCATCTGCGAAATGCTGTTTCATCTTAGAACCAGACAACTTGCCGAACAACACAAAGATATGCTATAGAAATGTTGCCGAATTACAATCACGGAGAACCCAACTGTCGCTGAGCTCTGATTTATGTACACGCAGTTCAAAATGTTCAGACCACAGAAGAGAAATTTGTGGATTAACTAAACTAAATGAGAGTCACTGAAGCTATGTTTCGGTGATGACACCGGTTACAGCGTCAAAGAGTCGCTTCGAAAAAAACACCCGTTCATTCAAATGCCTTACCAAGAATCACTGATATTTGGGTGTGCTGACTTTCAATGTCTGGCTGACGTCCGGCATCTACTGCGGATTTCACACATCTCGGACCTGACGGAACAGATATTTGGTGCACATTGATTGAACATTCGTTTATTGTGCTTAGTTTGGGGCGTGTATAATGACCCGCTGATCAGTAATTAAAGCGGACACTCCATTTCTATGAGTTTATGTTTGAGGCCAAACCATTGGATACGGTTTAGTTTCTTTTTCTCCGAAGCGAGTGTACCATCGAACTTACGCATGCGGTTAATTTCCCACCACAGAGCGATGCGTTCGCGCTGATTATTGGTCCGCCCGGCGTCGAAGCCGACTGCTTTCAAACGTCCCTGAAAGATAACCAGCCACCATGCGACAATGATGTAGTTCAGGGTTCTCCTCTGCCCCGTTTCATTGTAGGTATGCTCAGATACCTGCTGATGGAATGTGAATCTTTGCATTTCTGAGGACATCATCCGTACAGATGCTTGTCTCATACCAGAGAGATATCTAGGTACTTCAGGGCAGCTATGGAAAGCTTACCATACATTTGAACATCATTCAGATTTGTAGCAAGTTTTGTCCCCAGACGGGTCTAATAAATAAAATTGCATGCTATCAACTTTTTCATAGTTTAGGTTTGCAATAATTTCCGAACAAATTACCATTACACTGTGTGTAATTCTATACTATACTATACTATATTATGCCATACCATACTATACTATACTATACTGTACTATACTATACTACACTATACTATACCATACCATTCCATTCCATACCATACCATACCACACTATACAATACTATGCTACACTATACTATACTATACTATACTATACTATACTATACTATACTATACTATACTATACTATACTATACTATACTATACTATACTATACTATACTATACTATACTATACTATACTATACTATACTATACTATACTATACTATACTATACTATACTATACTATACTATACTATACTATACTATACTATACTATACTATACTATACTATACTATACTATACTATACTATACTATACTATACTATACTATACTATACTATACTATACTATACTATACTATACTATACTATACTATACTATACTATACTATACTATACTATACTATACTATACTATACTATACTATACTATACTATACTATACTATACTATACTATACTATACTATACTATACTATACTATACTATACTATACTATACTATACTATACTATACTATACTATACTATACTATACTATACTATACTATACAATACAATACTATGCTATACTATACTATACTATACTATACTATACTATACTATACTATACTATACTATACTATACTATACTATACTATACTATACTATAATATACTATATTCACCGAAGAACAGTACTTAAACAAGATGAACATTGCTTTTCAAATTCACTGAAAAGTTAATATGATCTGGGGGATTTGGGGATCTGGTGTTGCCAAAAGATATTGGAAACATTTGAATGCAAGCCCGACTCTCAGGTATGGAAGATATCGTAAAGTATGTGAATGCGACCTACAACCCTGATACGCAGGATGCCGTAGGGTCGGAGTTATTTGGAGAAGGTTATTTTTCCTGTCCAAATAAACGCATATCATCACGAGGTACAACAAGTAACCAACTGCTACCCTGGAAAAACGCGTCGCATGTTCGCATTGAATAGATGTCTGGAATTATCTGAAAATCCAGGTCGGGTGCACGGATAGGCGAAAGATGATTGCAAACGGCTGGTGCATTCGTATCGTTCTAACGGCAACTCTCTTCATTTGTTAAGAAGGTCAGCTGGGATAAAATTCAAATACAACCGAATCCTCCAGGCAACACTCGATTCAAGTGCTGTTGTTTCTCTGTCCTTTAAATAAATCTTGTTCTTCGTTTTCGAAAAAGTTTGGCGACAATCGGCAGATCTATTGCTGGGCAACGCTTCGCTTTTGACACAAAAGCTTCGTCGGGCCAAGTGACTAGGTTCCGAGGTTGGTCGAGATTTAAGGCGGAAGGAGAACCAATCAGCTACGTCAAGCTCAATGTCTGTTGGGTGTCGGCCGAGGGATTTTTAGTGTGTTAGAGTGGTTGAACAAGTGTTGGGTCGGTGGCGGGAACCTACATGTGTTTGGGTCCAGCCTAGGGTCTAGTTCTTCTGGTTCGGTTCATTTGATGGTTCCTCTTGAACTTCGTCTGAACCTTCTGTCAGTCTGTGTGGGTGAGCTAGTACTAAGAAAGTTGTGTAAGAGGGATGATGTGACCTTTGGTCGGTTGGGGTTTCCACCCCCAACCCCCGGTTTTTTCTAATGATCCTAAGTGGATTGACAACCACACCGTCACGTGTCACCTCGGCTTATATAAGACCGCTTTCCATACGCTCGCTAGCTCCACACACTCGATTCTATTCACGCTGTGATGCTTAGTGATTTCCACCGCCTCGGCTATCAGCCGTTGTGGTGTGAATCGCAGTCCCCGTCTTAAGACTTCCACATTCTCCAGATCTATTCTATGTCCCGTGTCTAAGGCATGTACCGCCATCGCTGAGTCTTTGACCAGCGTTTGGTATTCTTCTGCATTCCTTGGTGGCTTGTTAATCCTTCTTTTATGCTCACCAATTCTGGTGTGCAATTCCCTGGCAGTTTGTCCTATATAAACCTTAGCACAATCGTTGCAGTTAATTTTGTACACACAGTCCCTAGTCCTTTCAGCCGGCAGGGGATCTTTCAATTGCACCAAAACTGAGCGTAGCGTTTTTCCCTTCTGAAAAGCTACTCTAATGTTGGCTAAGTTCAACAATCTTCGAATAACCTCCGATGTTCCTGCTTTATATGGAATGACTGCTGTGCCAATCCATTCTTTACTGGGTCTAGATACTGGAACCAATATCTTCCTTAGTTGTCGTCTAATCAAACTCACTGGGTATCCTATTTCTTGAAGTTTGTTGGCAATCTCGATTTGAGCTGCCGTCCGGTCGATCTCTTCTGTGCACAGCGCTCTAACTCGACGAAACATCGATGAGACAATGCTGGCGTACACGGACTTTGGGTGTGCTGATGAATAGCTTAAGACGGTTCCCGTGTCTGTTGGTTTCTGGTAGACAGTCGTTTTCAATTTCCCACCAACCTTATGTGTTATACAGTCCAGAAAGGGTAATGTGCCCGATGTGGACTCTATCTCCATGCTAAACTTGATGTGTGGGTTTAAACTATTGAGATAGTCGTGGAAGCTGTTTACGTTGTCTCGTTTGATTACAACAAACGTGTCGTCAACATAACGCCAAAAAACGTTGGGTGGACAATGATATCCGGCCAAAGCTATTTGTTCGAAGTCCTCCATGTAAATATTGGCTAAAACTGGGGATATTGGAGATCCCATTGCAAGGCCTTGTTCTTGTGAGTAAACAGTTGTGTCAAAAACAAACTTATCAAGATTCAAACACACTCTTATGCCCTCAACTATTTCATCCACCGAGAGCTGTGTCCGTTCCCCGAGTGTCGTGTCTGCCAGTAACAACCTCTTAGTTACCTCCAGAGCATCTGCCCTAGGGATGTTTGTGTACATTGATATTACGTCAAAACTCACGAGGACTTCGTCCATCTCCAAAGGAAGCCCTGCGACCTTGTTGGCAAAGTCATACGAATTCCTAATGAAGGTGCTTGATTTCCCCGTGAGCGGTTTTAGTATACTAGCTAAGAATCTGGCCAGTTCATGCGGCGGCGAGCCTATACCATCCACTATTGGCCTTATCGGTACATCTGCCTTGTGGATTTTTGGCAGTCCGTAGAGTCGCGGTTGAATCGCACTTTTTGGATACAACCGGTACCACTTACCCTGCCCTAAATGGTTTATAACGGATCTTAAACATCTCCCAACTTCAACCTTACGCTTATTCATTATTGAAGTAATACTGCTACCGGTAATTTGTCGGTAGGGTCCATCGGCGAGGTGTTGCTTGACCTTTTGAAGATAGTTGCTCTTATTCATCACTACTGTGGCTTTACCCTTGGTGATGACAATACTATCTACCTGTCTCAGTGTGTTCAACGCTCTCCGCTCTGATGGTGCAATATTTGGAGTTCCCGGCTGTTGGGATTTTAGGACTGTGACCAGTTGTATCCGTAGCTTCTCAGCTTCCACTGAAGGAAGCTTTTGAAACACTGACTCTATACTAGGAATTATTCCGCCCGCTCTTACTACTTTCTTGCTCACAGGGAAGCTTAGTCCCTTTTCTAACAGATAGCGTTCGTCTTCACTCAGTGGTCTAACAAGTTAACCTGAAGGAAGCTTTTGAAACACTGACTCTATACTAGGAATTATTTCCTCCGCTCTTACTACTTTCTTGCTCACAGGGAAGCTTAGTCCCTTTTCTAACAGATAGCGTTCGTCTTCACTCAGTGGTCTATGTGACAAGTTAACTACAGTGCAGTAGTTGGTGGACGGTTTCTTCGTTTCTGTGACATTTCTGGGGCCCTGTGTCATGGAAAGCAGTTGTTCGAACTTACGGATCTGCCTATCCTTGCATTGCCGACCCTGTGCAAGCTTCACTTCTGTGGCTTTGGTGTTGAGCATCTGGAAGTCGGCGGTTGAGATCTTGTTCTTGATAATTTATCGCTCAGACCAAACCCTCATTAGATGTTTCGCGAAACATATGCTGTGTTATTCTGTACATGGAGTTCTAACGTTTCATCTCGCCATTTGGCACTCAAAGGCACTTTGTTTTCTGTACCTTCAGATTTGGAGGGAGCATTTATCACATGTTTCGTGGTAAGTCATTAACATTACTAGCTTGATTAGAATATCCAGTTAGTTGTTCTGCTCACCATGTGATTTCGGTGCGAGGCAGCACCAGGTGATATGGCCTACTTACTCAGAGTAGTACAGCGCGACAACGGTCTAGAGATCAGTCTGACGCTCATACATAAATACGGTTGATCCAGACGCTGATGAAAAGTGAGAGCAGTAGACCTTCATTCCGTTTCTCGGTCCAGGATGCTACGGTCGAGTATACTTGGCGTTGTATTACTAGTTATTTGTACCGTCGGTAAGCACGTGCATGTGTGTTAGGCATTTTCATCCACTCCAGTTGTCTTCCTCTTCAAATTAATTGACTTCTTTTCACAGCTCTCAAAGCACACGGTGATCTGGTCCAGGAAGCGGACGCCTATGCGAAATGTTCTAGTAAGCAAGCTTGAGAATCACGCATTTTATTACACTTTCAGTAGCATTAAGGCAGGTTTAATTCTTCCCCAAAACTACAGGTTTATTACGAATGTACGTCAAGTCTATGGTAGTCGTTCCAGTTTGTAATGTTTGTCCTCTAACTCATCATCCAAGTTGATGCATATCACCAATAAATGATGTAAGCGATATGTTGCTGAAAAACTGATTTCTCTCCTCAATCCTCTAATCGAATTCCTGATTCATTATTCGTCAAATTTCATAATTTTCCAACTAACTTTCCTTGAAATTCCAGAGCAATGCGCTGTGATATTGGGCACCGGTAGGTTTTCCTGTCTTCAAAGTCAATCATGTGATTTCATATTAAGGACTGTAATCATCTAAAGATTACTACTTATAGGAGTGAATTTCAGTCTTGCTTTCTGCGGGAGGTGCACTGCGTTCATAAGTGAGTAGGTGCCACGCCCATTTGTGCGCGCTAAACGCCAGGGGAAAACGCATTTGCAGTGTGCTTGAATGTGTCCTTTAAATGTCGGCTCGTTGTGATAAGTATTCAACAACTTTTGCCGATGACCAACTCGCTGTTCCGAGAACGCCGTGAATCAAATCAGACCGACCAGATTAGGCTTGCATTCTTGTCAGTATCTTACGCAGGTTGTTTGCGGATAGCTTGGTATTTTCAGGTGACGGTGGCAAACGCAACGTCTGATGTTTTTGCTGAAATAATCGTTATTTTTCGAGAACTGTTTCCGGCGAACTCACGTGAATGGCTATCCACAGTAAGGAAAGATGCACTGTTTCNGTTTCCGGCGAACTCACGTGAATGGCTATCCACAGTAAGGAAAGATGGCACTGTTTCTATAGTCCTGCTGAATAGACACAAACCACTGGTGAAAGTCATTGGGTAATCTTAAGATATGGAAATCCATACAGTGTTCTGATCGCAGTTTCCGCGACATTTAAGCCTCATGCATCTGTTTTTTTTTCAGCGGATGTATCAGACAGAGAATTTGGTTGCACCGGTGAGTTATTCTTCCTTGAAGTGTACTTCCTACCTAGTTTTCATAACTTTGACGTGTTTCAATGGCATTTGACTGAATCCTATAAATTTTCAGCCCGAACATTATCGATTATATTCATAGTGGTTGCACAGTTATAAATAGCTAGAACAAGGTGATTTGCCCCCAAAATATGGGGCTAATGGCCGCGAAGAATGAACATTAACTTTATTGTATCGAAAATAATATTCTGATACACAATAAGCTCTGCGGTCCATTTAGAATGCAACCGGCCGTCTTCGTTTACTTTTCCTATCCATTTTAGTTCTTTGCCTCGAAGTGTTCAAGTTTGATTGCGGGTGTAAGTTTCCGTTTAAAAATCCGTCGCAGATGTCCATCTTTTACAACTGTATACGGAATTATCCTAAAAAGTGTCATTATCCGTGAAATAGGAAAATATTGGGTATTCGGATAAGGGAAAGAAATACAGTGCCCAGGTTTGCGATACCAAGTTGATCCACTTTCACATGGGGTTTATGAACACTTCATATATGAGGACGTGCAAGTAAGGAAAGCCTACGTCGAACAGCGTGACGCAAATCAGTGGGGCAGTAGATGATATTTCACGGTTGAAATTTGAAGTCAACCACAGGATGGGTGGTGTAAAGTTAACTGTCACTGTGGCCGGTGACCTGTTCAAATCAACAAATATCACCAGATTACGAAGGAGCTTCGAAATGATTCGGTTCCAATGGTTCGGGCAAGCCAAACAGACGTTTACGAATACGTTAGCTCAAAACGAAATTGAACCTCTCATGAAGTTGAAAATCATATTCTAAGAAATTCCAGCGAAATCACAATGCGTAGAATTTAACATCCACGTGCTGTCAGCCATTGTCTGACCTGGTCGGTATTTTTTCTCTTGAAAAGCCTCAGAAACAGTGCTAAGCGTAGGAACGACTAAGCGTTAAACAGCGGTGGCGATTTCGTTCGATGTGTAGAATGTTTCAAAGACAGTACAGCAAGCCTTTCCTCCAATGCGCTGTTCTTTGCCTCGAAGTGTTCAAGTTTGATTGCGGGTGTAAGTTTCCGTTTAAAAATCCGTCGCAGATGTCCATCTTTTACAACTGTATACGGAATTATCCTAAAAAGTGTCATTATCCGTGAAATAGGAAAATATTGGGTATTCGGATAAGGGAAAGAAATACAGTGCCCAGGTTTGCGATACCAAGTTGATCCACTTTCACATGGGGTTTATGAACACTTCATATATGAGGACGTGCAAGTAAGGAAAGCCTACGTCGAACAGCGTGACGCAAATCAGTGGGGCAGTAGATGATATTTCACGGTTGAAATTTGAAGTCAACCACAGGATGGGTGGTGTAAAGTTAACTGTCACTGTGGCCGGTGACCTGTTCAAATCAACAAATATCACCAGATTACGAAGGAGCTTCGAAATGATTCGGTTCCAATGGTTCGGGCAAGCCAAACAGACGTTTACGAATACGTTAGCTCAAAACGAAATTGAACCTCTCATGAAGTTGAAAATCATATTCTAAGAAATTCCAGCGAAATCACAATGCGTAGAATTTAACATCCACGTGCTGTCAGCCATTGTCTGACCTGGTCGGTATTTTTTCTCTTGAAAAGCCTCAGAAACAGTGCTAAGCGTAGGAACGACTAAGCGTTAAACAGCGGTGGCGATTTCGTTTGATGTGTAGAATGTTTCAAAGACAGTACAGCAAGCCTTTCCTCCAATGCGCTGCGCGAGATGAAATTCAGTGGATAATATTCAATGAATTATCCTGTGCTGTTACTGACATATGACATCTGAGTTAGTGACATTTCAAACGTATTGAACGCGAGTAAATCTATGGTGAATGATTTGTTAAAGTGAAGTTATTTCCTCTTTGTGCAGTTGCATGCTCTGAGAAATATCAGAAGCTTAGTAAGTTGACTCAGTCTATCCAATCATTGAAACATCAAGAATGCATTTTCGTTATTTTCCATTTTGTGAATGTATCGGGTTTTCTTTGTGAGACGTAGGAAACGATTGATGGGTCGAAAATCATTTTATCTTAGAGCGTACTTTTGAGAGTTTAGTAAATGTTGAATCGCACACATAATGGCGATTTTCGGGAAGTACGTGAAGGTTTGTCCGGCCACTGTGATCGTCTCAACCGATGTTGTTATGGTAGACGTACGAACTCTTTTTGAATAAACATAACCGCACAACCCAGTTTTCATATCATTACAAAGATGCGCTCTAAATGGTACTACAACGGCGATTCATGGGTGGGGGGGGGCAATCTTGCGACAAACAGTTTGCCAAATCCGGATGAATTTAGAGGGTGACAGAATGACCCCCTCACAGTTGCTCAGAGGCAATGTTCGTGGGTACATTTCGTAACTGAGTTTCAGTCATCGGGATAACGAAGCTTCAAAATCTCTGAAGTAGTGTCAAACTCGTTTCAAAATTTGTTTGTCCATAGACCAACCAGAAAACGTACCCATATGCTACCGTAAGTTGTTCTGTTGCATGGAACTCCTTCCTTTTCTCGCTGTTGAATAGCATTTCATGCTAGCTCTCAAAGCGTTTTGTGTTTCGATCTCAATTAAACCCATTAAGTCCTGCGATCAATCGGCACACTTAATGCGTAACACATTTTCCAGGATTCCACAATCAGTACAGCGAAATCGTCAACCTATCCGAGAATTTGATGACGGCGACAGGAATAAAGTGGCTATTTCCACATATATTTAGATTATATATATATACATATATATATATATATATATATCATCAAATATGAACGCGACCTTGGCATCTTGATTTCCCATGTCTGGCTGGGTATTGGTAAACTGGCAGTTTTCCAGTCGTCGTTCCTACATTCCTAGGTGGCTTGCCAGCTAGGCACCGAAAGGGTGGTACTGTTGAACTCTTGCTTGCTAAGTACGTAAACTAAATTTCCAAGCACATGTTTTGTCATTTGAGAGTTTAACTACTCTCTCACACAAAACTTTGGTCATACAACAGTATCGGACTGTTCATCAAACCATTGATTTTTCATATCCATGTTTACATTTTATCACTGGTGCTTATAAAACGCTTTAGGTGGATGCGCCAAAACAGCCCTGAAGCTGTGCTCGCGTAAGTTCCCTCAGTGGATTTTACGTGCGTGTTATGCTCAAGACTGAGAGAAAAGAATCTGTCCATAGATACGGAGTTAGTGAGCAGATTGCGCACTTCACTCCGTTCCGAATCATGTTGTGAAATCCTTGATTTTCAGCGCAAATGCGTTGCAAATGCCGAAAACCAGTTTCTTCAGTTCAAATCGACATTCACGTTGGTGAATAAAACAGTGGCTGATTGTGAATGAGGAGGCCTTGTCAGGATTTGAAAGGCACACCACGGTGGAGGATTTCTGATTTGGTGCCGAGCTGCTTCTGTGTGGCAAGCAAGAGGAAGCGGTTGGTGGAACTGACAGATTGTTGGCAACGTATCCGGGTCATTATGTACGCGTAGTTGATGTGCTAGCGGAAACCTTCCTCGCATCTTATCATTGACGATGCCATTTATTCTGGATGTGTGTGAGATCCGTTGCAGCTCGGTGTCCTTTGTCTATGTATCGTCTGGTTTGTATCTGCATAAATGGTCTTCTGACTGACAGAGTATATTTTGGGTGACGTATACTAAAGGACGTTGTCGGATGCGCAGGATCGAACGCCAGTTGGATATTTTTTCAATTTGCATGTTAGCATAAATGTGCAGATGGTAGTTTATTCTAAGGTTATACTGAATCATTCATTACCCTATGGAATCACTCAGGGATAGTGGTTGGTGGAACTGATAGTTGGGGCATATACCCGCCTCAGTGGTCGTGGAGATGGGAGACGGTATGATACTTGGAATGTTGCTCTCCAGATTACCGGTACAGTAGCGAAAAGCCCTAGCCCACAATGGCAGAGATGTCGTTGTCGTGAGAGTTCTGTTTCTCTTCTGGCGCTCTCCTGGGAGTAGCTGGTGCAATGATTGTTGATTATGTTTATGGTGTTTGCTGCCAAATAGAAGAAAACAGCATTCTATTTTCGTTCTAATTACATTTGTAGGCTTCGCTGGTGTGGACAATGAAAGACGCATAGGTGAGCCATTTCAATGTCTATATTAGGCGCTTCGGGCGCTAGAATTGCCAAACTGATTTCTTGTCGAAGCACAGGCCACTGCAGCAGAATCGTTTGTGTACACAATCGTGTTTGTCAAAGCGAAGTGCGATGCAGTATTCCTCTGAGGGAGCTCGGTCATTGAGCTCCGTTGAATACGGATTTCATACTCACTTGGCAAATTTGGATTCACTTTTTCTCACAGAACGATGCAAAGAAAAATTTCCGGACAAAGGTAATGTTTACAATTGAAAATTGGCTTTTGAATATCCATATATTGGCTAATTTGTGATCACCATTCGGAGCGGGAATGACAGTTCAGATATATGGGACAGAACTGACCATCATTCTTCCATGGCCTCAGGTAGTTTTCGGGTAACCGATTTCGGCGTAATCATCTTTTACTGCTCTCCTTCGAGTAACAGTTGGTAGGATAGAAAATGTTGGCCAACCGCCACCGTTTCTCATATAATTAGCACGTGGGTGAAAGGGTTGATTTTGGTGTCGTTTAGATAGTCTCCCGCCCGGTTCGGACACAATCGTTCCCATGAGTCCGTAGGAAATGAGGAAATCACTGGACTAGAAGTTCACTTTTATGATAGGTCATCAGAAGTGCATTTAATTGGGCTTTTAGGGTTTAGAACTCCGCACATCTGACACGAGCGTGTTACCACTCTCCACTAGCACACGCTGGACGCATCCGAATTTTTACGTGTGAAAATGTAATATTTTTCGGCTCAGTCTGTGATCAGAAAGCCCAACGCTTCGAAGCACGACGTAGTGATATAACATGGCTCAGCTGGGCGACTTGTGTGTCTGTTACATCTTTCCATTTAGGGAGCAACTCAGACGATTGAATCCTACTGAACAAATGTGTTTTAATTGTCTAGGTATTTGCAGAATGTAGATTATACTCGTTGTATGCATTAGTTCGCAAAATACCAATCGATCGAAATTACTTGACCAGTGTAGACTCATCCCTATTTGAAACATCGAATTTTGGCGAAAGTTTTCACAAATTTAAGTTATACGCAATAAGTGTCTTCAATGTATCAACTCAAGTTGAATGTTAGCGCAAGTGGTCTAATTTTGGTTAGATTAAGGGCGTTATCGGCGTTTTTCCTAAATCGTGCATTTGAAAAACACGATTTAAATATCCTGGGTGAACCAAGAGATGAATGTAAAGCTAGCACAGTTCAAGCCTTCTATGGAGACTACCAAACTCCACGTTGGTCTCCTGCTGTGACGTTATCCACACCCTTTTCGATCAACTTAGAGGGAAGTACTAAATTTTGACTTCAGTATAATCGCCGGTTGACTGAATAACATATGCACAGCTGTTTCATCTCAGAGGTGAAAACTATGCCTCAAAACTTTCTTTCGACTTTTATCATATCTCATTGTATGGAGGTTGAATACATGAAGGCTACTCGACGCACAGCTTTAAACAATTATCTGCTCAGTGGGGCATTTGGTCACATTTCGGCCAGTTCGTAATTCCCATAAACAGTACTAGAATGAGTCCGTAATAGCTTGTTGGTCGATGCCTCAATTTCTGAGGAAAACTGACTCGTCTCTATGCAACTATACACAACACACCCATCTGGACTGATGGGATAGCGTTCGAGCGCAGAAAAATTTGCTGGCTTGTTCTGGACGTTTCAATGTTTACCGTGATTCTTTTGATGAGAAACTGACGAACCATTTTTCTCTGGACGTTCACAGGCTGATTCTGGGAACATTTAGGCGGGGAAAAATTAACCACGTCCACATTATTTTGTTTGTTTCACTTTCATTATGTTAAAAAAACCGGTGATCTCCCATGTGTTGTTTTTTCGTTCGAAAATATGTGAGCTGAAGTATGCGGGTTTGCTTAACTGCGCCAAATGATATTGTCCGTAGGCTATCTCCGAACACATTTGCCGGACCACAATGAGACTGATATCGATATCTTGCGAATTATCAGTGCTCGTTGGATTGCTAACAAGATTATTCCAAGGTTGCAATGGACGAGTGCATTCCAAAACCGATGTGTCACTTAGCGACTTTTGATTTGCTGATGTGGCGTGGGAGGTCAGGAAGTCAGCGGTATTCGACGTTCGAGAGGGCGTAGCGATGACACACGTCGGTTCTGGAATGTGCAGATATAGAGATTGATATTACTGAATCCACACGGCACACATTCGCACTGGTCGGGTGATACAGGAGAGGAGACCGGAGCTTGGCAGCAACACGCGTGTATTCGACCAAAACCGAAAGCAGAAGCCGGGGGTACAAAAAATAAGTCAAGGTCAATCAGGGGTGTGTACAAGAGGGCTACTCTTTCCTGCCGGGGGTCGTGGTGGCTCGTCCATGATACCTGCAATAGGGGGAGAGAGGGAGAGCCACGTATAAGGTCATATGAGAGACTTACAAGCAGATGCAATCGCGTTTCAAATGTGTTACACTGATTAGGTTGAAAAGAAGCGGGTTTCGCCAAGCAAAATTAAGTGCAACGTACAAAAAACTAATGTGGACATAAACTGGTGTTCGGTTGTCCTCATCAGCGACCAGGTCGAGTCTGCTAGAAGACTTCGGTATAGGCGCTCAAGACCCCTTGAGGATGGTGGTTCTCGGATGAAATCCGAGGCTTTCGAGTCATTTTGCTGCCATCTGATGGCGACTTTTCCGTGGTGCTTTCCAGTTTGAAAGTGGTTGATTGAACTGCCACGCCGTTGACTTATCCATCCTTCGATGGAATTATATTTTATGGTGATGTGGCGGTTTGTGAACACCAGAGATCTACTGGGCTTTGTGAAGGTTTTAATTTTGACACTTGCAGTATTTCCCCACCTGGCTGTTGAGCGCACAGGGGTTTCAGGAACACAGGTTACTGTGTGTGTGACGAAATTTCACACATATACTAAGCATCTCAAAAGTTGCAGTTGAGCTTGGCATTAAGGAGACATACGAGCTTCCCTTTACGTTGCGAAAGTAGTTCGGTTTGGCTAGCCAAACTACCAGCATGGCCAGCATGAAATTCTCAATCTCTGTGTTATTTACTCACGCGAGACAGAAGTGGATTAATGAACCTATGATAATTATCTGGAGGTCATAAAACATGGACAGAAAATTCGATTTAGGTGATGACTAGACAAAAACATCCTAGGGTGAATTTCACAGCAAGAAAGACGGAACGCCATCCGGAATCTGTGCCGTGTGTCTGGGAGTCTGTTTTCTGCGTTTACCTTATGTATTCGACATTGCTCACAATCTCCTGTTGACTTTTGGCCCGTGAAAATTGAACCGATTCCGACGACATTTTTGCGCGCTGCTTTTGAAAAATTTCGTTACCAAATGCTCCGTGCACTCGTTCGTCGTAATTTGTCGTTATTATGGAGCTTCCGTTGGATTTATACTGATTCATGCAGCAGTTTAACAGAAATCCCCATAAGTTGAGGTTTGTGTCCTTTTCCTGTATACACTCTTTAAATATACTGCCCCATTTTGCTGTTGAATCTCGTGAGTTCGCAATTCTCCGTTCATGATTCCACGCGCCACACGACTGGGCTTCCCAGAATATGTCACGTATTCTACAGTAGTCTCTCTCGCGTGGACCAATTAGAATCTCATGTGTTTTTTAGGTACTTAGCGGATATTTTCGGAGAAACATTACTCGTTTTCGCTGACCTGTGATCGCAAAAGGCAGTTAGGGTAGATGGCCACTTGGAGCTGAAGCAAGTGATTAATGAATGCAGGAAAAACGGTTGATTTTTCCTTGGTCAGATCGGGGTGAGGTCCACTTTGCAGTTAACCGTTTTGATACACGCACACCGCATTTGCTGAAAACTCTTCGACAATTGGGCTGACTTGGATATTTCCGCCAACTTGTGATTAGCTTTCAAAATGAAAATATATCGTGATATATCGAGTACACTAACATCTGATGCCTTAGGCACCCGTCTGTGCAGCACATTCAGTGGTTGGGCCTCTTGTGTAAGCCAAATTCGTATGAAAATAACGTTTTTGTTGCGCAGGTGTGGGGGTGCTGGTTTCGCGCATTTCAGCAGTACATTTGAGTCACCATCAACGCTACATTTTATGGCAAGCATGGGACCATTCTGTGAGGCATCCAAACGGAACAGTCATGATTGGCAAGTTCTCCATCGCAGGCGTGGAGTCTACGCTTCCTGTACTTGTTTCACCCATTTTAGCAGTACATTTGAATCGCATGACGGAATCCACCGAACGCCAACTTCCCACCTGTCACCTCCGCTACGTTTGGCGTGGTGCCTTAAGGGACTCCATACCACTTGGCTATCTGCTTGAGTGACGAATCGTCATTTGTCTTGTGAAACTAAAATTCTTCTGACCTGCTTGTGGATAGTGAAAGAAACGTCGTTCATTTCTAGCTGGCGTTTGTCAATCACTCGATGAAGGCAAACTTCCCTCCGCCGGAAAGAAAATGATTGCCACGCCAATCTACAAAACTTGTGACCGACTATCGCCTGGAAGCCACAGGCCTATAAGCCCCGGTAGCGTGCCGTGCAAGGTGATGGAATGTATTCCGAATCAATTCCTAGATCACCCTGCTTCCAACAACTTGATACCTCCAGTTCAAAGCGGATTTCTCCCAAACCGTTTTTGCGTGTCAGACATACTCTTATTTACGTACCGCTCAACCCATGCTAAGGATGGGAAACTCTTATCGGATGCCATATTTTCCGAGTTCTCAAAAGTATTTGACCGAGTCTCACACGTCCAGCTACTCCGCAAACTTGGGCCCTAATGGATTCAAGATAAAATCCTACACTGGGTCAGGGCGTTCCCGTCAGACAGAACGTCTCGATTTAAAATAGGCTCAACCTACTCTACTGCAGTGCTGGTCTCCATTGGAGTTCTCCAAGGTTCCCTTTTAGGATCACTGCTCTCTGATATACATCAACAAAATTTCAGATGTTCTCCCAAGTCCATGTATACTTTTCGCCGACGACTTGAAATTCTGGGGTTCCAGCGTCAGTATCCTCCAAATGAATGTAGACGCTGCACGGCAGTGGTCATGCGATTGGCCCATTCCTGTGAATGACGAAATGTGCGTCCATACGTCACTTGGAGGAGACTCCGCGAGCACCTTTGTCATGCACTGTGAGAACGCACTAGAAGATATCAAGAGGAGAGGTGCCGAAAACCATTTGTGTGTTTTGTTCTGTTTAAATATGCCCTCCTCACTGCACCGTGGCAAATCAGACCAAAATGCATTCGCCGTTCTGCGGATGATTGGGTGGACATTCTGCCGTATTACTCATACAAGCTTCCTGTTGATTCCCTTCTTCCATTTTTATGTTATACAACGCGATTCCCCCTTTTTTGTCATCTTGTTTTTCGCCTATATCACCCTTATTGTTTTCGACTTGGACATAAACCGTTCTTTGACCTTGTCACCGGACTTGCTGTTTGAATTCCTATGTTGTTTCGCTATCTCGTAAACACGTGGCTTTGATTCCGCGAAACAGCAGACTCCGTAAAAACCGTGTCCCACCGATCCAGTTGCAAGAATTCTAAGGCTTATCCCGGAAACCCCAAATTCATCCGCTCATCTCAGTTGCTTCTGTGAAGCCGCACATTTATGTGGATATCCATAAACCGAAGTACAACACAATAATGATTGTAACTCAACTGCCTTACCTCGTCTGGCGGTCTGCCCATGTTATATTATACATTAACAAGTAGACCCCCATCCACATTGTCATTGAGGTATTTCATATGTTTTAATGAACATATGTATCCAGGTGTTGCTTTTCCGAGACCTCTTCAGTCCACCTAATATATGCCCGGGCTTCAAGCTACTGACTTTCTCAATGCGTTCTCATTTGGCTTTGACCACATCGCTAATCCACTAATTCACTAATACACACATCTTTCCTATGTCTGCCAATGAGAACCACACTGAGGTGTTCATGCATTCTTGATTACGTGTATCCTTACTTGTTATTGACATAACCTATATGTTCGCGTGGGATTCTGCTTTTTTTCCTAGCGCGGCCTAGTTGAATTAATTAAGCTAATACTTCAACTGCTTTGCCTCTGCAACTTAATTCAACGATCTTCAGAGCAAAACGTTCAATTTTTATTTTTCCAATGCCTTAGTAATACTGTTTCTATCGTTCCTGTCAAGCGTTTTTTCTTATTGTTTACCACAGAATTCCGCATTTTATTGCTTTCGCTTTTCACCCAGAACACTTTTTCCTTCATTTGACCTGTACGTAGGCCGTGCTTTGAACTTTGTATAAGGCGCTTAGTTCACTAGCTGATCCTTAGTTGCAAAAGCTTTGCTGCTTAAAAAACAATTTTCACGCAGAAATGCTGCGTCTTTTTTGCATATTTGGCCAGACAAAAAATCACCGCGGAACCCTAGAGGCGCACCCAAAATTCCTCTGAACTCAGAGTTTGGAGGAGGGAAATTTAGCATGAAACTTTAGTATTTGATGTTTTTTCGTCGATTCTGTAAGATCTCTCTATGCTTCCGAAGTATTCCTAGAAGTTGTTTACAAGTACTCAAGGTTCAACAAGGGCACGTAATTCATATTTTAATGGCTTACAATTGTTTCGCGTGATTTCTCCGTCATGACGGCGGATAATTTGCGGAAAACCCAGTTTCTTCAGGTGTACTGGGTATGACCCAAACAATAATTACACCATCAGTGTCGCGCGAATTCACGACATGCACATCTTGGGTGAGTTGGTTAGGGTTATTATGGTAGTTGAGATTAGTCAGGGACTCGTGATAAGTTAAAACTAGCGTGGATCAGGAATATTCTTGTGTCTATCAGAGGCACACGGTTGTTTATTGGTGCCATTCAGATGAGATGATAGGACAGCCTTCTCTTCGTTGGGGAGCCAGGATGGGAAAAAAGTGTCGAAGCATCATCTAGACCGCACCACAATATGATTTAGACTGCGGTCCAAAATAGCGGACAGCCAAACGTGATAGGAATTTCTTACTACTGCAGTCATAAGACTGCTCGATTTCAAAAGCTTTAATCGATATTCAGTTGGAGGTAATAGGCATGCGATCGGTGCAAACAAGTGTAGACATGTGTTTATGAGGAACCCGTGGTTAGCTAATTTGTACATAAATACTATGGCTCGGAGGGTCCATGTTCCAGGAATCGGTGAAAAGCGCGAGATATCTAGTTGTGCTGCTTGTTGTACGATGACGTGTCCTCAGAATGGGGCAGCTGCAGCCCAAAGAAAAGCGTGGAGGTTCTGTAAAACATGTCACCTTCGGGGCTTTATGGCATGTGCATTTAATGCTTCCATATCAGCGTTTTTATCTCTGCCGTAGGTAATGTCTTGAATTTATAGGTGGGTCATCCGGGACATATGCTACAACCAGAAGTTCAGGCCACCGGCACAGGCATCCAAGAAAAGTTGCTTCCGTTATTGTTTTATCTTTTCTTTATTGCGGAAGGCAAACTGTGAGATTCAGCATAATGATAGGGATGATTTTGGGGATATGGCATGCAGTTAAAGTGAGGATTGCCAACTACGCAGTCTTTTGCATCGTCAGAGAGAGAATGGGAAAATATGGTGCTGAATGGTATTGCGGACGTTCAGGGCTTCCACAATCCTTCAGGTGACGAAAATTCGTGGATGCAAACACCCTGGAATTTTAGTTTTCCTGTTTTTACAAGTTGACCGGTTTGTTCTTGACGCGCTCATTTATCATAAAGAGTTCTTTGTATTCACAGACTTCCTTACGTGTGATAGAATTGTAGCTCTCCACAAGCTTCTATACACTAAACGGCCTCCATCAAAGGTGTCCACTGTCTCCATTCTCACTTAATTTCGTGATCGGTGGGATAATATGACGATAGCTAGAAAGACCTTCTGACCACGAGTCTTCAAGTAGTATCTGACAAAAACCTTGTCGGCCTAGAATATCCAAGCAACATCAATTCCTTTACGAAAAGAAGCAAGTGGAACAATTTTTCTCGGATAAACTGACCAGATATTTACTATTGTTTGGTATGCACGTTGCACCCACAAATCTTAAGGTCATGCTCTTCGGCTTGTAGTAACTTCACATGCCACTTGCAGTCCAAGAAAGGCCACTTGACGTTGTGGCGCGCTTTTCACTCGTCCACTGTCACTGCTGACAGTCACTCTATTTCTCTCTCTTCGCTTCCCTTCCCAAGCTTCAATCCTCGACCGCAGTTGTCCAAACGCCCATTAGAACTGTTATTCACTCAAACTGGCTGGTGCCCGGTCTAAACTCACAAGGTCCTCTAACAAAAGGAAAATTAACCGTGAGTCTACATC